CAGTGATTGCAAAAACATATGCTGCAAAACTGACTGAGGTTCTGTTACCAAAGTGATAATTCCTGTTCATATATTTGGCTGAGTTGATTGATTAACATATTGATGAGGCCCTTTAGCGTAATGTGGCCTATATCTTCTACAATTGGCTAATTCACTCCTGTAAGACAGCAAGTATCTCTTGCTAGTACTGACATCCTTATCTCCTAGTCACCTACATGGGGGTACTTAAGACACTGCATGGCAGTGAAAGCTCCTAAACACACCACTGGTTTGGTCTTATTAACAGAACAGTTGCCAAATTAAAAAAAGTCATCCTAGTAGAACAGGCATGTGGACATCTTATCAAGTATAGGATAGAGCTGTTCATTTAATATGCTAACTGGAAAAAACCTAAGCTTTCATTTTTAACAGACCTTTCCAAGTAGCAAAAGTTAAAATTTCCAGTATTTAGGTCTCAAACTGCAGTTAACCTGTAAAGCCCACAGCAGAATTTATTACCCCTGACCACATCAGCATAACTAGCAAACACAGCTTTCTTAACATGCAAACCCAAACAATTTTATACGGGCCGGGTTCTGTATTATATTTGTAATGATCTTAAACACAAATGTTAATCTTGAAATTAGCGTACGGGTTTGGCATTCTAATTAAAATTATTTACTCGCTACATGACCTTACTATTTAAACTGGTTAGTAATGCTAGTGCTTATTTATAATGAAACATAACATGAGAATAGCAGCATTAAAGATGAATATTTTAAACGTACTGAAGATTTTATGAACAGGCTTCCAAGTATTAATTATAAATGACAAAAAAATGAGTGAACAGTGCCTAAATGGGAATTGTGATCACTGTAACTAATCATAAAAATCAATAGTACTTACTGTAATTACTCTAACTATATTAATTATTAATTAAGCAGTACAACCAGTAGTTCTTATAACCTAAAAAGTTGGAGAATTGTATTTGACAGTTAAAATTTCTTTGATTCTTAAATGTACTATAAACATGAACTTTCCTAAATAATACCAGTGTGCTTTACTGAAGGCCTAATTAAAATCAATGTCATGGGTGTGTTTTGGCTGTAGTACTAACTGTAGGATCACAATCTTACAAACGCAAGCAAGGAGGCTATTTAAAGGAGAAGGAGGGGGGACGGAAACAGCTACCACCTGCACTTGAAAAACAGTCAGCTTATGGTGACAGAAAGTTACGCATTTGCAGAAAGGGGTGGTCCTGCACACCAGCACACACTGCTGCTGCTTCATTTCTGTCAGCTCTAACAATCATGCAGCTCTATGTCTGTCCAGCTAATTGGCCTTACCAAAACTAAGACAAGAGAGAAAGGTTAGTTTTTATTTAGATCTGGATGCTGATCAACTCACCCTACAGCCGTATGGTTGTTAGAGCTGAAACAAGAGGGAAGAAAGAAAATTATGCTTGGGACATGGGGAAAACCACAGGACAGGCAGCATGATGCAGCTGTGAAGCCACACCCCAAAGCTTGCAGGAAACAAGCCAAAAAGTAAGGGATCTGCTTCTGCCACTATTTTCCATGCTACTGTAAAACTAAAGGAACACTTCTGAAGATAATGACATTACACCTACTGAAAAACACTGGGAAAAGAGAATGGAGATAATAACATTAAATAAGTACTGGAAGGGTGGGGCATAAACCCATGCGTTTTTCTAGCACCAAATTGTATTTTAGCATCATGAATTCTATTAGAAACAAAGGTGTTTGCAGATAAGATATTTAGTAAATGTTCCTTGCATTAAAAAGTCATTGCCTTTCACATGCTCACCTCAGGAAAGTACAAATAGACTGAAGTTCATGCAGCTCAATTCTATAGAGCTACTGAGGAATAAACTCGCTTCAGATCGGTATGCAATTCTGTGAGTAAATCTGGAAGAAAAATTAAATGCAAGATGAAACAAACCTTTCTACTTTTTCATAAATTACTCTGAAATTAACTATTTTTTTCTTTATTCTGTTGTTACACGTATATAATAAAACAGGTTAAGGTTCCTTACAACTTTCACACTTAGCAATGTTATTTAGGTTACACAGTAGAAATTGTAACAAGAAGAAAAACGAGCACCGAAGGGCTTCCGACACCTTTCAAACAGTGTCTTTTCTAGCTTTCTAACTGAATGTAGTTACGCACTTGCAGCCAGTCAGTTACAACCAGTGACAACAAGGAAGACCAGAGTCTAGTTGTACATTATTTGTCCATCATGTTGAGAAGGATTTCACAAGTCCTTTCCGTTTTCTGTTCTCTTGGAGCTGCTGTTTCTATTCCTTCTAAAAGGGGAACAATCTCACTGGCAAAATGTTCATTTTTCACAGTGCAGACATATTGGAATGATTCCAGGTCAACTTTGCAAAAAAAATTAAATATTGTGGTGATTAACCAGAAAGACAAGTGAATATTTCAATGAATTTAACAAATAGGCAATTTTATTTAGTGGAGAAAATACTGCCAAAATGTAACAACCACCTTATATTTTACCTTACAGTTTATTTGGAGAATAGATATATTTTATGTAGAATATTATATTACAAGTCATGTTAGTGGGTAGTACCCATGGTATTCTTATCAGAGGAAAACTAAGCATTATTTAACTGGAAATTTAATTCTCATATACATGTGTTTTCTTTTTTAATTGCTAGTAACAGCAGTCACGCAAATAATCTTTTGGAAAGCCACAGGCCCCTGCAAGCTGTGCAAGAAGTGGAGAGTGATATATACTTACAAGTGACAACTTTGGGAAAAAAAACACCTTCTGGATCTAGCACAGAAATTTCTATTATTTGTGCGAGTCATTTAGCGGATTGAGTATCTGCATGAACAAATCTAAAGACACACTATCTTAGCTCTAGAAAATCAAGCTTCCAGATGAAGGTATCTCCAAGATACCAAAAAGAAATTGTTTGCATGTAGCAAACCACTAATAAACAGCAAAATCTAATTATTGCAAAAACATAAAACAGTGCAGCTGTACCATTTCTCCCTAACCATACCGTTGCAGCCATACCAGTGAAAACAGAAGTGTTAATGCTAATGTAAACTCAGCTGCTGATATATATTCATTAGATTCAGAACAGTTCCAACATTTCTTCTTCTCACTAAGTCAAATTTTATCTCAGTGTCATTGGCCACAGATCAATGTAGATACAATATGATATACCAAAATGTAAGGTTTTAGGACACCTGGGCCTAGGATGTATCTGCACTCTTGTCTCTTACTCCATAAAAATCACCTGAAGAGTCCTATGGCTTTCAAATAACAACTGGGAAGCAGAGAGGCAAAAAATGGCAGGATATTCTCGTCAGGCAAAGCTATTTTTTTGGCCCTGCAAGCAACCACAGAAACATAGAACCAGCTCTCACCCTGCAACAGTGCAGAGATTCAGCATCAGATCAAACAAAGGGAAGGCAGGATGCATAAGGATACAGGGTTCCTGCCCATGGCCTGACCTAACTGGATTTGTACTGAATCCGAACACAATTTGTACATTGTGCTTTGTCTAACTCAACAGAAATGCATATAAATGAAATTATGAGCAGACACCTCTTCTGGGTCAAATTTAGACTGCAAGGAGAAGCTGCTAGAATATTACTACCGACATGGTGACAGGCTAAGATTTGACATGATAAAAAAATACTTTGTATTTTTTTAGAGTTGCATATAAGATAAAACATAAATAATTGCACCAGGAATGTACTAGTGTAACACAGATAGAAAAGGCACTTGACTTATTGCTGTGGAGTTCTCTCTGACAAGACATCAACTGACCAATTAGTCTGCCATTTTGGTCTGCCAAAACCTGAACTTTTTCACTTTCTGGGAGTCCTAACCTAATGAGAAAAGATGAAGAAGCAGGAGAAAGAGAAGGAAAGAGATAAACCATGAACTATCTTTTGGTTTATATTGAAGTTTACAGCATAAATGCTCAGAGCTCAAGAGCTGTCCACAACGAGTAACACTAAGTAATTACGAGTGAGTTTCTGATTGCACAGACATGCTGAACCAAGAGCTCTATAAACCAGCCGGATCGCCTCTGCAGTATGACAGAAGAATGACTCTAGCTATTTGAATCAGCAGCATTTTTATTATTATTTGATCACTATCTGGTCTAAATACGAGAGAAAGAAGCTGAACAATTTCTTTATTAAGATGCACTAGATCTTTTGTGATTAACATGCAATTTGAGTTCTGAAATTGAAAAATTTTCAATCTGGTCTTTATTAAAGCAGTATATTATAAATCATGAGCTCTTAGGAAAACTCACTATGGCTGAACTCAGTAACGATGTGTTTCGTCCTCCTTTATAAAGGCAAAGGGAATTTGTAAAAGGGAAAAGAGAAATGCATTTGTAAGCATTGCTAAGCAGGGAGTTTAGGAAGACATTTGCAAGAGCAGGGAAGCAGAAGTCCCAGAATGGGTACCTGAGCAATGACCCAACTCAGATGACAGAATTTCTGACACACAATAAAAACTATTCTGAAGTATTCTTCCATTATTAGCACTTAAATTAGCTTCATTGTGAAACAGTAATTAAACAGCAGGGGAGGTTCAATGCCTTAGCCTTTTATTCTTGATTCTAATTTACATGATTAAATTCTAACTTATTCACTGATTACCTTCTTGCTGAACACGCTTTGGGTTCTCATGGGTTTTATTTTTGTCCTTGCTTCTTTTTCTGGGTGTAGCAGTTTTTGCACTCACCAATCTACAATTTTCAGCATGTTTATGCATATTATTCTGTTAGCATAATGAAGCATAAATATATGAATCAAATATTAATGTATGTAAGCAATTTAACACACACACAAAAAACAAATATGGTTCTGACAGACAAATTTTAGAACACTAAGTGAAAGGTTGGCTTAGTTAACAACCTCCATAAAACTCCTGAAGATTTTCCAGAATACATATTAAAATTCTGCTTTAAAGGGACACTGCCCTTTGGTGGGTATAAAATCAAATTTACCATTTTCAGGTTCCTCGATAAGCAATAAAGTTTTACATGTAAAATCTGTACGTGGAAAAGAGGTTACATTTACTTCAGAAGTACACAGAGTTAACCCAAAACCAGAGATACGTTCTCGTTGCATATGGTTTTGAAGAAGTGAGTAATAATTTCTCACTGTCCTTGCTGAACTGGCCCTAGCAGTCTTTCACTTCAATTACCTTTACAAGTTCTTTAATTTGTCTTAAAATTCATACCTCCAGACTGCCTTTTTATTGAAGATGACTACCGCATTAAACATTAGTAACTTCCATACTGGATTGTGCAAACCAGTAACAACCCTGAAAATACAATGTGGCAGATATTTTCTACCTATAGGGGAACACTATAAAGTTCTTTATTAATCCCCTAATGTAAGGTTTGGGAAAGAAAACAAACAAGTTGTGCTGGGTTAGCATTAAGGAGTTAACAAGCCAGTACACTGCTTTTTACTCTCAGTCCTTTGTGACAATATGATCCGCCATACTTAGCCAAGGACAACTCCACTGAGATTCCTTAAAAGGAAGTATCTTACCCAGAGCAAATAGTCCTTACCACATTTAGGGCATTCATAAACTGTAGGCTTAATATTAGAATCATGATGCCTCCTAAAGTGATGAGTGAGAAGCTGCTTCTGTCAAAAGCTTTTGCTGCAGCACAAGCAAGCGGAGGGTTTCTCACTAGTATGGGTTCGTTTATGTACAATTAAACGTTGTTCCTGAAACTAAGAAAATACCTGTAACGTAACTATCCAGCTCTGTGACACACGTTTAAAAACCACGCAGGCACACAAAAAAGTGCAAGATGTTGCACAGGCTCCTTAATTATCCTCCCCCGTAAGCAGATGCTGAAGAACACATTGGGATACTGCCCACTGACTTGCAGAAGGTCAGAGGTTTTCCTCCTAACCTCATTAAGGTGAGCAGAGAAAATAATCAGAATGGAGCAATGGCACATTCCAACACATCAAGGCCAAAGCAATGCTATCCTAAATGTACTTTTTAAAATAAAATTTTCAGTTCCAACTGAATTTGTGCTGCTGAATATCACATTTAAGGCGCAAAAATTATATTTTGTTCTCATTACAGTGTCACTGAAAGTGACTGCTCTTACTTTATACCACTGAGCAGTTCATATACTTGAAGACTTATCAAGAAGATAGCCTCAAACTTTGCAGCATTTCAATTTTACTGTCTATTTGTGAACCATTTCTCTTGTAAATAAACTGCACTATTTTAGTTAGATTGCAGTCACAAAAGTTTTTCCTTTCTTAAGATAAATATAACCCCAAAGCCAACCCTACCTTGACAATCCATGAACTGAATAATAATAATTTTTCAGTGAATTTAAACATCTGCTTACATGCATAGCTGCACTGATCACATTTGAATCTTTTTTCATTTCTATGACTCTTGTGCTGAATAAAAGCATAGCGCTCATGAAAAACACCTTCACAGTAGCTGCATTTGACTGCCACTGCCATATAGGAATGCAGATTTCGCAACTGGACACCTGAACAGTTATTAAAAGCAACCCATTTTAACAGTCGATTTTTGATTTCCACAATTTTGAACAAGAGTTAGACTGAGTAGCCCTGAGTAATGCACACATTGTAGAGGAGAACACAAAAAAGAACCTTCTGTCTCCTCTGCAGTAGGGGTAAAATTGCCAAATAGGCCATTTTTCAAATTAGCTTAAGACAACTGAAGTTTCAGCAAGATGTTGTAACCTTCCAGAGAAATTAAGCAGTTATAACCCTAAATCTTACTGATTTCAATGGAAAAAATTAACAAATCAAATCCTTTTAAAAATTCTGGTAACTGCCTGCTTTTGTCTATACACAAGAATTCATTTGAAAATGCTACTGAAAGTAGTATTGACTATATTAAAATGGTAAGTGCAAAAAGGCATGAACAAAGAAATGGTATATATGTAAATAACAATTCCACTTCTACCTTCAAATACTTAATAGACTTCATGGGGTCTGTATTCTTTGTATGTCTAAATAATTTTTTAATATATCTTTTTCATATATTTCTGGGAACATAATATTTTATATAGGTTTTTTGGTATTGGTCAGTTATATTGCCTCACATACAGTAAACATGCTATATTTCTAATACACTGACTTATTAACAAAACTCTCATCTGTACAAAAATATTTTCTTCTTAGAAAAGAAGATGAATTTATGTATGAAATGTATGGATACAGACAACTTTACTGGTACTTGAAGCAAGTAGCATTCCAAGCAAGAGTAGTTAAAAAATTTAGGATACCAAATTCCCAGAAAATCATGATGGCTTGTGTTTCAAGAACTGGTTTGTACAAGGAATTATTTAAATATATGTTTTCAGTTACAATTATAATTTTAATACATATTTTCAATATCAACCTGTATATCAGTACTATTTGACACTGATGGCAAAGTAAAAAATTCCATTACCTGGATAAAGAACGGAGATGAACTTACGGAATGCTTTATTCTTTGCATTATGGGAAAAGACCCCAACTAGCTAAGAGACATTTGAGTTTATTGTGTCACCTTCAATGTTTCGTGAGTGTTATGCAGCTCCAAAATAATCTTTTATATAGAATTTAGAATTCTAAGAGTTTCGTATGCTTTAAGCATAGTGACACCATTGTCCGCTGGACCAAAGAAGTCAAAATTAAAATTTAACTTGCCCTTTACTAACTAATGCAATTACCTGTATTTCATTAAATTACAAGGAAAATGTGCTCAGCAACTAAACGTGCAGTACAATTTTAGATTAAGAGGTAAAAGGTGATTTGGTATATGCAAAACCCCACATATACAAAAACATTCAAACTATTCTCATTTCTTATACAGCTAGGCACATATATACATTTTAACTAGAGCTAAGAAAGAAACAGAATGCGAGAACTGAAATGGCTTCTGTGGCTTTGAGAAAACACTTTTCAATACAACCCAGACATGTATTTTTGTGAGGTAGCTTCTTATTGAAAAACAGAAGGTCACAATGCCACAGGTAACGAGCAAAAAAAAAAGCTGAAGGTTTGCTACTTTGCATTTTAAACAAATTAAACCATCAACCACTAGATGTCACCACATCTCCTTGCAGGAGGAACTTGCCTGTAAAACAGCGAATACATTTCCCATAGAAATATTCTGGAACGATACAAACTCATAGATAACATATTTGTAGCACTGTAAGCAGTGAAAATTAAAGAGATTTCACCTCTAATTATTTCTACATTTCATCTTCGTTTTTTTTCTTAAAACTCACCCAAGTCACTTTTCCATGCAATAAAGGTACTACAATGTGGACACTGGTGTTTGGGCACATTTTCTCCATGCTTCTGTAACGTACGGATATTCATGGTACCACTTTGAGTAAATTCGGCCTGGCAAACATAACGTTCATAGGGGTTTTCACCTATTAAAAATATTAAAATGACATATGCTTAGGAACTCTACTTACTTGATACAAATGCAAAATTCCCACAGATCCAAACACCCACTTTCTAACAGCAACAGTCTCCAGACCAGCCAAAATGTTACTATTGATTGCCAATGTGCAAAAGGCTAAACAAGTTTACATAAGTTTACATAGCTGATCACAATGCAAAACTTGGCTTCCAGAATCTGCAATTCAAACTGATCAAGCATAAAGTCATTAACACAATTCTAAACTATTAATCATGAATTATTTTAATTATCTTCCATTCTGTCTTGAATATTTAATGCCTAAAAATGCAGAATTATCCTCAAATGTGCAAGGAGAGAAAGTAAACAGCTGTAACAACATCATGACAAAACCAATCCAACACCAGCTATTGATAATGGTGAAAGAGAAAGCGGCAACTATTTTCTTGCTTTCTTCCCCAAAAAGTCACATCAGGTGTGAATATCATCAAAAATTACATCAACACTAGCAACGGACACAGTCTAATAAGAGAGAAACAGCTAGTGTGCAGGACCCAACACGCACACAGATTTTGAATCAACTCCAGACTGGTTCTGTGGACTCTACCAGTACTGGGTAGCGTTCTTGAACTCTTCTGGTTGGACTCTCTTTAAAAAAGAATTCAGCTTAATTGCACCAAATTGCCTCAAGATATGAACCAAAGCATGGTAAGCGGGGATATTTGGAAGATTTGATTCAAACCACACTCTCACACTCTGATTCAAACTAAAACACTAATCATAACATACATTACATATCTTAATTGAGCTAAGCTAGACCCTGAAGGTACTAACTGCCTTCTCAGAAGGCACACGTGTTACAGAGCCTTGACTGCAATGCATTGCTTTCAATGTTAAAGCAATTTAATTCTTTGCTGATCAAATTAGTTACTAGCAATTTGGGGCCACAACAATGTCCATGTTTTGAAGACATTTTAAACTCTCCCATCAGATACATCTCCATATAAAAATCAACTAATTGAGAAATAAAAGTGACAACTTGATCCACAGTAAAGACCACCACATGAATTAAATATTTTTCTAATATAAAAATGCTGAGGGAGAACAGCAAGACTGTAACTACTAGCACTGCACAGCTAGACTCCCAATAGCCAAATCCAGAAAATTTAAAGAGATGTTTTTCAGGCACGTTTTGACTCAAAAATCACAAAAAGTGCCAATTTAGAGTCTGAAATTAGTCGACTAACCCTATGAATGTTAAGAGCCTAAGGCCATAGACTTGATCATTACATCAGAGTCCTACCCAAATGAGTTCTCATGTGCCTTTTCAGTCTATAGGCACCTTTGCTAGCATAACTGCAAAGGTCACAGGCATAAGGACGCTCTCCTGTATGTGAGAGAATATGCCATTTAATTTTGTTCACCTAGTATAAAAATAAATTTTCTGCAGTAACATACACAATAGAAACATAATCAATTAAAATATAAGCAATTTTACAAAATACATCTACTGCAATTTTAAATATTGCATCAATCCCAGAATCAGCACTCCCCTGGCCCTCCATTTTTGCTGTACAATCAGCCTATTGTGGTTTTAGGTAGCATTCCTCTACCCTTTCTCCTGATGATCTTGCTTCCATCGTCAGTGTCAACAAACAAAAAGAGAAATTTTATAAGAAGAACATAAAAACTAGAATTTATAAATCAGCTGAAGGGGTTACCTACTACCTTCAGGCTACTTGGATATGTCAAACGTAAAATTCTTTGAAAATACTCAGGAAAATAAATGAAAGACCAAACTCATTAACCAAAATCTTTATTCACCCTCAAGTCCCAATGAAGCACTTTCATTGCAAAAGTTTAATTCATTTTACTTTTTTATACTGTTCTTGCGACATGTTCTACATAAATGTTGTAGGTATGCAAGCTAAAATTAGGAGTTACCTAAAGTTCAATTCCTCCGTTTATAAACATACTTAATGAACTCTCTGCTAGATCCCTTCAAATCTACTCCACTCTTCACTTAAATTGAACGTGACTGCCAACCTTTGCTATACATATACGTGGTATTACTAGGGGGCTCCTTCAACTCTCCTCATTCAGGTAAAGCTTACAGCAGTATTAGTGAGAGTTCTGCAGCAGCAATGAGTACTGAGTACTTCCTTATCAAAACAAGGGAAAGAATAGGATAGTCTAATCTAAACTGGCAAGTGTTTTAAAGATGCAAGGTCTCTAAAATCAAATTAAAAAGATAAAGTGCATGGAATAAAGTCCAGGCTTGCTTACAACTTTAGATCTGGACACAGCACATAAATTTAGATGCTGAATGTCCACTAAACTGTGCATGACCGAAAGCCTACTTTTTCCAAGTGAATCCTTAGGCAGTCTCTAACTTTTATTTCTAGATTAAGAATATTTTGGTCCTGTAAAAACCCTGAACATCATCAAGCATACAAACACAACACATGAGCTTCATTTTAGACATTAGCCAGTTTTGTCCTACAATATATGGAATGATGTATAAAGGAGGACCAAGTATGCTTTTGCAGGATCACATCCACACAAACACATTGTCTAGCAGCAATTTTAGTATAATAAAAAAGAAAACACCCTTAAAATGTAACTAGTTTGTAAAAGCTAAATAATTGTACAAATATTAATTTGAAGCAACTCATAAATATTACTGCATGGACAAAGTAAGGATTCAAGGAACACAGATTACTTGTTCCCTTTTGAGGGGCGATGGGGATGAAGAGAGGTGCATACAAACGAAACGCTTGTCACCACGAAGTTTTGGTAACCAGCTATCTTGCAGTAAAACTGCAGTAACGCAGCAGACAAATTCAACCCACCCGTGTGGTCCAAGGGCATTAGCAGAGCCTGGTGGTCTTTGCTTCGATGCTATTATGCAAGGGCCACTGATTCCTGGGATCCAGCAGATCTCCCTACCTTTACGGTCTCTGCAGTGCTCTTTCACTGTATTGAAGTATTACAGCAACCACAGGTTTTGCCATTCCTCCCAGTTCAGAAAGCATATATACATCTGCATCACAAGCCAAGTATTAATACTGTAGCTTGACATCCACAACCAGCTCTGCAATGCACTGAGCTGATCTCATCTAGGACCCTGGCAGTAGCCAAGGATGATACAGACAGCACGATACACGCACAGGTAGGTCCCACTTTAGCAAAAACTTCTCAAGGTTAAAAATCTGTGCAAAAACGTTGTAACTTGACAGTACATTAAAATCTTAGTATGTGAAAGCCTACAAACCCTACCAAAAGATTCAGTAAGGCTGTACTTACCTCCACTCTAGAATATTTACACATTGAACACTGGAAAGATTTTTCTAATGTATGCTTGTAATGTCTGTGTCGTGAAAGCTCATCGCTGGTCACAGCCACTGCATTTATACAGTCTGGTCCCTGTAAGAATATACCGTTTCTTAGAATTTTATTTAACAACACAACAGTATGATTTGTCTGCCTTAAATCAACATGCACAATTTTTAATAGAACCTTTTCTGAGATTCTGAATTTGTATATACAATAAATGTGCACCGTAAGTTTATTATAAATACTATTTATCAATTTCCTTCATATGGTTACCTAGCAAAATGAAAACACAAAAAATTCTACTATGCACATAGGAATCAGACACAACTGAAGTCAATATTCAGTTTTGACAAAAATTATTAGAATGGTATTTAACAAAATAAATGAATACATACACAGAGAGTTACTAACCACAGACCATGTCTTTTTCAGTGTGGAACTCCAAATGAAATCAGAGAAACTTCTGAGCACAAAATTATCACAGAATGCAGCTCTAAGACAAAAGTCGTTTGCCTGTTTATTAGATTTTGCAGACAACATGTAAAATAAAGTATTTTTACACGTTAGATACCTGCATGTACATTCACATGGTTACGCAGCAGAGATGTACGAAAAGCCTTAAGGCAGAGGTGACACACATGACATTTCTCAACAGAATGGGTTTTCACATGATGATTAAGACTTGATGCTCTGAGTGAGATGGATGTGCACAAACCACAGCTGAAAAATGCTTTTTCTCTTGTGGGAACAAAGACACATTTAGATTGTATGAGCCACAAAATAATGACCCTACTTTTTCAAAAAACAGTACCAATTTCAACATAGTTCCTCCTCTTTGGGTAAAACTACTTCATACTTCTACATAAAAGGATTTCAAAGTACATGATAAAAAAATCAAGCTGTCAGACAGAAATTATTGTACCTATTTAAGACTTAAGTGATTTGCCCAAAATATAGTTCTATGTGTTTGTGACACAGTTTAGAACCTAATCTGAGGAAACCCAACTCCTAGCCTAGCTCTCACTTCCAAGACAGGGTGAAACTGCCCCTCTTGACAGCATCGTTAAGACATGCTTCATCAAGGCACTTAGAGCCTGCACAACACACTTCTTGACCACAACTGTGTAACTAGTACTAAATAAGCTTGTTCAAACCTGTGGAAATGGCAGGTTGAGCTATTCTCAGCTTTCTGGTAGTCTTGAATCTGTAAAGTGTATGCAGAAAACATCAGGATCTAAAAGCCTCTTTACAATTGTTAGTTGAATTTGAGGAAAAAAGATCAATTCCTTGAAGAAGTCATAGAATAAAGTTATGCTTTGTGGATTATGTAACATTTCCAAGTTCATGGCACAGCAGTACTGAATTTCTTTTGAGCTTAACAAGTTAAATGTGCAACACTTTCAGTTTTGAAGATTTGAAACTGCAAAATGGCAAATACGTCATATTCGAAGAGCCTTTCCAGAACAGTTGTCTCAGCTCCCAAGTGCACTCTCTGTAATGATTTTCATGCTGAGATCAAAATGTATTTTATACAACGCTTTACACCACACAGAGATGTGCAGCTAACACTTCGCTTCAGTAACAGCAAACAAAACCACTTTATTGTTATTTATTCATTGTGGATTCATGCCCACACAAAAGAACATTGTTAGCTTTGCTAAAGCTGCTCAAATGTGCTTCCTATAAACACAGTAGCTAAAACAAGGGACATTAACAATTTGTACAATAGCCATACTTTAAATAACCTCAGCCAAGACACCTTAATATTCAGATACTGACACACACACGTTTACAGACCCTTCGACATTACTGATGTCATCCAACTTTTACAGTCCACACATACAGTTTCTAGGGAAACAGTTGCTTATCCATTCCCTTCTAAGTCAGTCCTTAACTTCTGTGACATACTTTTACATTCCTAAAATCTTAAATCAGCCACTTTGTTTTACTTTTACTTTACTTTTTACATTTACTTACGTTCTGGGAGATACCTTGCTGACAGGCACTGATATTTGCCCACCACCCTCAGCCAGCAACTTGGAACCACCCTAAACTCATCCATAAACCCCCAAACAGCACATTTTGAAGCTGAATGAGGGAACTAAGAAAAACTATGTAAATTACTAAGTTTATTCAAAGGCATTTATACAATATTAACTTTGAAATCTCCCTGGAGGTTTCAAATACCACATAGTATTCAAAAGACCATTAATTTCTAAATGTCATCCAAGATGTATCTCCTGAACACAGATGCAGATGGCATCAGTCTGAACAAGCATCCTTTATCACTTAAGGCTGAAGGGTGTTTTTCCTTCTTCCAAATTTCCACAGAATGTTAGATATAACCCAATCTACACTTAACAAGTAACACTGTGAATATTTAACACAAAATTTCAACCTCACTTCAAAATATAATTTAACATACATTATCTAAAAATGAACTACAAAGATTATGAACTTTTTACCTTCTGTCCCATGCAGAGCACAAATCTGATATTTTAGATTCTTGGGATTTCTTACAACTGTTTGTTCTGATGGAGTTGCGTATTCCTGCTCTTTACCCTCATTGCATGAGTCTGACAAATCATCACTGACTTTGCAGCTCTCGATCTTTGTTTCCCCCCAAAGTGAAAAAAAGTTCCTTTCCTCCCACCTCTTCAGAAGGGGCAAGTTGCTGGACCTTATTTTCAAATGCAATGACATCATTATCTCTGTCAATCTATTTAAAAAAGAAAACGTTTTACAACTTCCCTAATCAAAGGTAGTCGCTAGTGGCAAAACAACCAAGCTATCAACAAACTGCAAACTACTAATTAATTTTGATTTTCAGCCTCAAATGTGATGGACAAAACTGCAACAAAAAAAATTGCATTTAACGTACAGCAGCCCTTTATGTCCCTGGGAAGGGAACAATTACTAAAACTAAGCCCTAGCTTTTCAAAACTATATATAAAATTTCCGAGAATCACTTTAAGATTACAGCACTGAAAACATAGAAACTTGTATCCGAATTTTTAAAAAAGATTTAAAATTTGAGTACATTTACCTTCTAAAAGAAAACAACAAGAAAGTACATTCTCAATTTTTTACCAATCTAATACAGGGCTTTTGAAGCCGAATTGTAATGCTTTCTTTGTCATATGGCAATTAACAAGGTTGTGATACTTTTTGCATTAGATAAACTTAATTATGACCATCCCTCACAAATAATCTAGGGTGGCCCATGAGTTTTAAAAGAAAAAAAAATTGTTATAAAACTAATACCTAGCACAAGATAAATGCCATTGTTTGCATTCCCTTTTAATAAAAGGCATTTCAAATAAGACCATATTACACATCCAGCTTTAACAACCACTGCAGTATTGTGCTAATGCAGGAAAAGAAGAGAAATTGTCTAACATCACATAAGAGATCTAGGCTGTCAAACAAAATAGCACTGAATTGAATTAAAAACTTGTCTGAATTTCAACAGGTTAATCATCTCTAAATACTAAATTTTTAGTTTGAATTTTTAAACATGGGATGAGATTATAAAAAGCTGTACAAAGGATTCGATTCTTAAGTCCAACAAATGTGAATGCCTACAAAAATAATCATAGAATCATTGAAGTCGGAACCAAATCAGTGTGATAGTACAAGTGGACCGCTAACCTATTGCCATCTTCAACACATCCAGAACTTGTACCTCAGTCAGTAGCATGTCTGGTGGTTTCTCTGTTGGCTTGTTTTCTGAACTCTTTGCTTGCCCTTTTTCTTGCAAAACGTTAATCTGCGTCAGGCCTAAGTCATAAAAAACACAGACACCTTCCCGCACACTTACAGCCATGCCTGCCGGCACGTTGTGCTGCACACCCTGCCCCTGCTGCACCACCAGCTGCAACACAACTGCCACTGCCACCCCCTTCTGCAGGTAGGCAGTCATCTGTGAGACCTCCTCCAAGTCATCTTCCTCTGCCTTCGGACACGCTGTCTGTAGTGTCAGCAAGTGTTTTTCACCCTCTTCATGAGACAGGGACCATTCTGGGGGGACACTTGCCACCCCCCGTATGTCAAGCCTCACGCTGTGGTCACTGGCACCGCTCCTCTCCTTTACTTGGGTTACCCTGTCTCTGTCACACTCTTCTCTTCTGTCCCTGGTTTCTTCCACACCCCGATTCTGGCGACAGGTTCCAGCAGCCCTAAGGCCATGTACGCTGCTAACTGAACCTGCTCAAAAGGCAAGGTTAAAAAGGAGGGCAAAATCACAGACTTTCGGGACAACCCCCTGGCCCTGCCTCGCACTCCAGCGAGGCATTTGTTGGACTTAAGAATCAAACCCCCCTCGCTGGCCTGTTCGCCCGCAGACCTCCCGCACACTGGCTGCCACAGCACGCCTGCCACCCGCTGCGCCCCTGCTGCCTCACAGACCACCCCTGCCCACGGCCCCATTCCCAAAGCCTCCCAGCCGGCCCTCACCCCACCAAAACCCCAGCCCTCCTCCCTCACCCCTTCAAACCCTCCCTCCTCCTTGGTCAGGGGCTCCCCGCACCCCAATCCACCTCCCGACCGCCCCCCTCCTCCCGCAGCAGGGGCGGCAGTGGGCCCAGGCCCGGGGTGCAGGGGGTGAGCGTGGCCTGTACCCCGCGGCTTCCCCTCAGGGAAGGGCGGGCAGAGAAAGGGCTCTACGCCAAGGGGCCTTTTGCCTGTCGTGCACCTCGGCGGCAGCCAGAGCGGGAGGAGCCCGTTTGTGGGCAGCGTCTCCGGTGGGGGAGAGCTGGTTCCTCACCTGTTAGTTCCAAGAGGTGCAAGGGTCTGACGTGGGTGAACCTCCAAAGGCCTCCCCGTGCAAGGCCCGTGCCCGACGCTCAGCAAAGAGCCCTTCTCCTCACGGTGAAAGCAAATCCGCACTGCTAAGCAGCGAGGCCTCCTGTAAAAGCAACCTGCCATTTTGTCACGCTTGAGTCGTAGGTGAAGATCTCTCGGTCTTAATTGTAGGCCCTTAACCTTCTGCTCCCACTTGGCTGGAGACCGCGGGGCTGAGCTCAATTCGTTTCCCTACTTGCAAAATATTTGAAGTACTTCCCATGTTTCTCGCTTGGAAACACTTCAGCCTGGGTGCCACGTCGCTGGAGTGCTGCTGAAGAGCTGGCTGACTGCTAGTGCTGCAGCATCTCTTACCCTAGGAGCTGAAGTATTTCACAAAATTGGCTGGAGTGCATTTGCAGAGGCAGTAGAGCGATATATGAGCATCATTACACCACTTTAGGCCACAATTGGTTATTCAATGAGAACGAGAACTTTTAGACTTAAGAGTTCTCCAAATGCATTGTAAAAATGTCTTTAAGGTAAACTTGTACGATTTGAGAGACTTAACATTTAATCTTGTGTACTCTTCTAGACTAGCAATTTCCAACCTTCAAACATTTTATAAGGCCCATTTACTATTAATACTCTATTGTATACTAGTGCAAAGGATAGATTTGGACATTTATCTCTACATATTAATTCAATGCTTTGCAAAGTACAGTACATTGCACAGTGACTATAGCCCAGCGGGGTCCAGATCCTGGTAAACCACATACTGAACTCTAAACAAAAACCCTAATCGACTCGTGGCTTTCCTTGCCTGTGCAACCCACCCATTAAAACCAGTGTTTGTGAAATAGCCTTAGTCCAAAATAGCAGCAAATGCCACTGGCCTATTTAGCTGTACTATTCCATCAGACGAGGTGGTGCTCTGCACAAAGCCAATATTATACGGTGTGTTTCTGAGTACCCAGGAACCATGCGTCCCCTTTTCCACTGAGTTTGGCAGGGACTTTATTACTATTTCTGTGTTTTGGGTCCCTGAGATAGCAGGTACTATACAGCACCATTGGAAAAGCCAGTGATTCTGATTACTGCAAAGAATGCAAAATACACAAAAAGTATATCAACGGGGCCACTGTAACAAGTTGTGAGTGAAAAATTAAAACCTTTACATCTTGAAAAATGAATCTCATAGTCATTGACCTTACTGGGCCTATCTTTAGAGATAGCAACTTCCTGTAACTCCCATAAGTACCCTTGACAACAACTACTCCTATCCACAAATCTGCAGAATCCTAAATCCAAGAGTAACAGGCTTTTTTTTTTTTTTTTTTTTTTTTACACTTAATAACCTCTAGTTAGTCATAATTATTATGTTACTTGGAATCAACACAAATCCAAAGCAACTATTTAAGGCTGAATATGTATTCCAGCAATTTAGGGCTGGTATTTTAGTTAGATACCACATTAATCATCATCTACAGAGTCTGTGGGCTCTCAAAACCAAAGAACAGGATGCAGAATACACAATATATTCGTATAATTATGCTGCTGGTGACTGTAGCCAGAGATTATACTTCTTACCCATTTCTGAATCTTTTCAAGTTGCTAGTATACTGTGCAATTATGATAGTTGAAGGGCACTGAGGAAAAAAAGTTGTTATAATAATATATCCTCCTTTAGGTCATTTTAATGAGTTTTTCTGCACTTGAACAGTCGTCAGAATCCAAGAGCTGTTCTGCCTTGTACTTCTGCATTATTAATACTAGCACCATCCATGCAGCTGTAGTTAAAGGTCTGTCATTATTTCCATTATAAACTGATATTTTTGAGGATTTATAACTCAAATGCAGAATAGCCCTTCAGTTCATTTTCGTTGAATTTAAAGGAGCCACTTGGATCAGCAATCTACAAACTCAACCACTTTCTAATTACGTTTTGACACAATAGAGGTTAACGGCTCCCTAATGGCCATTATGGTCTATTGTATATACAGTTGCCAGTTACCAATACTGCCTACTACACCATCCATCTCTTACTGCAGTCAAGCTTCTACCCACTCCTCTAAAGTGTCTATTTCTTTCTAGTAGATCAACAGTCTGCATGAAAATTCTATCATGAACAGAATAGAGGACTTTTTTATTTTTTAAGTCATAATTATATTTTGGGGGGTAAACATGAATTATTGTTTGTTAGGAATATTTTATAAGGAATATAAGGAATTTAATGTAGGCACATTCTCTTGTGCTAAGGTAATGTTACGTAAAGAAACAAAATTCAGCCGCAAAATTTCAGCTGAATTGCTGGTACAAATCCACTGGTGCATGAAAGTGAATACACGGACAACTAAAATCCTAAATCAGCAGAGTAAATTCTGCCCTTGTCTGCACTAAGGAAACTCAGCAAACTGTGTTCTGGTCTGTGTTTTCCTCAGAGTATAAACAGCTCAGCTGACTTTTTTTGACGAGTAAAATATTGGATTACCTGTTCAGATTGTTAGTCTTAAGTCTGAATAATTTCTTTTATAATATTTAGGATGCTTAATGCTTGTTAGATGGAGCTGACCTTTTGTAAAGCTCCATTACCACGTAATATAAAGCATATTTGACCTTGAAGGTAGTTCAAAGTTTTCAGTTTCATTCCCTACCTGCGTTCGGATGACTGCAGAGGCTGTATAATCAGTCTTCACTGCGCATGCTTTGTACCTCCATCTTCCTGTCATTGGTCCTATACTACAATCCTCTGATGCCAACAGAAGGATTACCATCAATTTAAATGGGTTTGGAGTTAGGCCCAAATAGGTAACTACGTGAAGCAATAACAGTGTGATTTGTTTACATATTTTTGACCTGTCCACAAAACACAGAGTAAATCAGGACTGTTGCAGTACATTTGAAAGTGGGGTGGGGGAGAAGAAAAAAAGAGAGAGACCAAAGCAAAAAAGCTAAGCCCCAATTTAACCTCCAATGCTCATAGTTGTTTCATTTACGATACTCCGTCTTGTAGTTGAAAACTCCATTCTTCTCCAGAACATGACTCCTGTTAGTCTATGAGAAAACTCAGTCTTTGTTGTGACTTATTTTGACAGCTTTAATATAATTTTCCACCTGGCATCTGGAAAGTTTTCCATTTTCACTTTCCTCCGATGTCTCACTTTTGTTTCCAAGTATATGTCGTATTCACACTGCACCTGTCATAGTGGCATCTATGTGCCTTAACACTGGTCTGAAAACATATACGCCTTTACTTTTGCTCTTATGCCAGGGACAATTGCTACCTTCATCACCTGTTTTGCAGTGAGATATTGCCCCTCTTAATAATGACAGCAGTAGATAACCTGCTTCACACCATCACCTGTTTCAGAGAAAGCAAGTATACTTTTGTAATCTTCTAATTCATATGGCTCTTAAATATTGTTCTGGTTACGAACTGAATGATTGAAATCTTTTCACTTTACTTTCTGGTGCAGTCGTCAACTTGTTCTTTTAGCGTCCCACTTTCACACAGATGAAGCACTTCGTCAGAGACCATCAAAAACCTTAATTAAAAAATATGGAAGCATGTTAGCTAATGAGCAAGATTGAAAAAAAAAAATTATAATCTTTTGAATGCTGTTCTAAGCAACCAAATTTACCGATTCGGAATTAACTTAGTGCTTCAGTGCTGGCCTGGAAGATTCTCAGGAGAAACTATTCAGTCTGAATTTCAGAAAAGATACTGATCACTTGGAAAGAAGAGTATTATTAAAATATTTTAGCTTTTTTTTTTTTTTTAAATTTTTTGTTTGTTTGTTTTTCCCTGAGACATCTGGTTCTGAGAAGGGAGCTGCAGTTTATTCTAGCAGACATGATTTAGTATTCAGATCTTACTTGGATTTCTTGTCTACCCAAAGAACATAATTCTCTGGTCCCTGTCTCTACAACCATATAAAAGCTAGTCAGACCTCAGATCCAGAATATAGTCCTGCTTGTTTCCTTACCTGTTCCCAAAGCAAAGGGAAGATGGGAGCATAGCAAAGCAAAGACAGACGGAAGTCATCCTGGAGGATATTGACTGACTAGTGTCTAGCCTGGCTCTAAGTTACCACTCCTCTTTCTCAGTGCAAAGAGGAGGGTGAGCAGAGCTGCAGAGCTCTCTCAGAGGCGCAGTGCTTGCTTGGATGGGGCTGTTCATGGACAATCAGCTAGATGTGGGCTGTGCCTAAGGCACAGGGAAAGCCTTGCTTTGCTCTTGACAGCGCTAATCGACTTCGAGAAGACAAATCGTCTCTTTAAATATGAGTAGTTCTTGTAGAAGAACCAAAACAACTTCTATGAAGTTAAAGGACTTAATGCTTTTAAGTATTGCCTATGCTTTTAAAATCCTGCTCCATACTGTTAATGAGTATTATTACATAACGTGACAAAAGAACAGGGCATAATGGTGTACCAATGTGGAATATATAAAAGGGAAAGTATTTAGCTTAAGCTTATTGGAGCTGAAATTACCAGGGATGACTGATTGCTCAGACACAAGTCAGGGAAGTGGTCTAAAAAATATTAACCATAATTGCAATTTATTAACCATTTCATCTAACATCATGATATATTTAGAAACAATTCTATCATCCCGTAATGCACCGTTTGCTGCGTGTGGCAGACAGGACATCTGTGTGGTGGGTCTGTTTGGAGGAAGGATGTTTACTTGAGAAGCATATTACCTCTTCCATTTCAAAAGACATTAGCATGGTTACACAGTTAACTACACTTCAGTGACTTCCACTGTTTTTACAGAATACTCTTTAATCCAAGAGATAACAAAGAAAGTTTTAAAGACAACTCCCCTTAGTTAGTCAGTAAAGGGTTTTGCTGCTGTTTGGGCAAGGGTCAAAGAGTTAAAAGTTTAAAAGGCAGAAAGTTTTCCTCTTGTTTTGACTAAACTGGAGGAAACGTGCTAGAGCTGTGCAGAATTTGATTGCCAAACACTAAGTGAAGATACACAGTGAGAAAAGGTAGTAAAGGTTTAACCCAGCTGATGTAAGAAACAAACTCCAAGGATGCCCATGTTTCCTTGCTTTTATCGCATTGTTAATCTTTAATCAGGAAAACATTTCTGAGAACAGCTTTTTGTGCACAGCTAAACAGGCACTATTGCTTGGAAGTTAATAGGATCACCAGAGAATGAGACTATTAAATCTTTGTCCTAATAAATCAATGAATGAGGTGTACGACCCAACGGAGTTCAAATTCTGCTTCCACGTAGATACACAGCAGGAGCACATTAAACCTTGCAAAATC